ATATATATATATATATATATATATATTATNTTATATATATATATATATATATATATATATATATATATAGATAGCAAAATAATTAAGTCGAGCGTTCACCTGTCAATACGGCTTCCTTTGGCAACAAAGTGTATATATCTTTATCAAAGTGTAAAATACCTAATATAATATAATATAATAATATAATTGATATTTTCTATCTTACAATGAATTTAAAATATAATAATTGTGTTATATTTTTCATTAAATATCATATACATTACAATTGTAAAATTTATATAATATTTTATATAAAGATTTTTGGAACAAACAATTTTTTATTTAATAATATTTATATATTTCAGTTTCTGTTCTCTGAAAAATTAAATCATTTAATTATTGGAAATAAAAAAGATGGAGAAACGACAGGAAATACTGGCTCCGTTTTCTTTTGGTAAGTTGCTATTAAAACAAAAATATGAATAATTTTTTTCTATTTGTCAATATATTTATTTATTGTATGCAATAAAATATTAAAAAAGGAAATATTTAATATTTTTTAGAATTAATATCCTGTCTATATTTTATTTAATAAAAGCTTTTTAATATAAAATTTATAAATAAAACGTATTATATAAATTTTTTAAATTACATAATCTAAATATATCTACATTTAGCATTATATTGAAAAGCTTATTTAATAATAATAGATAAATTTATTTTTTAAATTATTTAAAAATATTAAAATATAATGATAGCTTTAGTATATTTTATATATATATATATATTTTTATATATTTTTTATATAATTTTTATATAATTTTATATATATATAAAATTTTGGTATCTTTGAAATGATAATTTTATATGAAGTTTAATAATAGATTTGATTAGTAATGCATATTATATATTATTTTTTTATATTTTTAGTAAATTTATATCATATTCATTTTTATAATTTTAATTAATTTATATTGTGTTTATTTTTATATTTTTATATTTTTAATAAATTTGTAATTTAATTATTTTTTAATATTTTAAATATATTGTTTCTAATATGATTTTTATTATCATTTAATTTTTTTATTTTTTAGTAGAAATTAAAAGAAAATATATATTACCTGTATTGAATAATAATTTTTTTTATAAAGAATTAATTTAGTTAGTAAATTATAAATAATAAATTAATTAGTAAACTTCTTAATAATATAATCATATTCAAGAAAGATTGCCATTTATTATAATTATAAGATTTATATTGAAAACATATCTTTAATTTTCATATGGTTAGATTGTATAATTCATAAACATAAAAGTAATATAAAGGACATATTGATTTTTAAAAATTATATATTTAATGTTTTTAAATATTAAAAAAAAGAATGAATTACTAAAAAATATTAGATATATGTAAAAGTATATTTATATCTTTATAAAGTAAATGAATATAATAATATTTTCATTCTTATAATTTTTTATAAAATATATTTGGAAAAATATATTATCTTAAAAAAATATTTGGAATAAATTATTTTAAAATTTATTTATGATTATTCTTTTTCTTTCTTCTTTAAAACAAAGATTTAAAGATTCAAATAAACAAATTGAAATAAATTTTAATCTCAAATTGTTTAATGTATACATAAATGCATGATATATAAATATATTTTTTTAAAATTTTAAAAATATGATAAAATAATTAATTTTTGTTAATCAATATAAAGAATAATGATTCTTATGATTAAAAATAAAATTCCATAGATATATGATTTGAATTTATAAATATTTCGATTGAAATAGAGTAGTTTTCCGAAATAATATTTAATTATATAAAAGATGAATTATAAAGACGGAAGCAAAAAATGAAGTTATTGAAAAGAGTAATAAAGGTATTAAATTAAAGCTTGGTGGTCGATTAAGAATCGGGGGTGTATAGAGGCGGGGTAGCACGCGCGGACCAACGGATCAATTCGCGCTTGGAAGTTACGGGGAAAAGCAACAGTGTCTATCCCGTTTCCCGGAAAAGTATATGGTATGATTTGACCATTTTTATTTATTCTCAATACTGGGATGACAATAAACGATTTATCAAGTCAACGTGTAGGTAAAATACAATATGTTAATTGATTGAATATTTTCACCAAAAGTGTCATTAATATCCGTGCAATTCATATGATCAACATTTATAATTCATTTTTTTTTAATATCATATGTAATATATAATATAAATATTTGATCAAATATTATGATGAAATATGTTTTATTATCAATTGAAATAGTAGGATTAAATAAAGAATTTTAATTTTATGTATCATCAGTAATATTAAATTGATTTAATAAGATATTCTTATTTCTGAATTGTGATATTTGATAACTGATTTTGGATTATTTGTAATCAATTTTAATATAGCAAAACTTAATTATTAATTTCGATGAACTTAGCTTAATTTTTTTTTTTTTAATTGACAAAATATCCTTTTTCATATTAATATTTGCATATTTATAAAGATATAAATACAGATAGCATTATAGAAATATTTGACCTGATTTTCATACAATATGCCTTTATATATTACTAACATGAAGATGAGATGCTGCTGCAATTGTCACGAGCAGGTTCTATTTGTTCCCTTCGCGAGTCGATATGCGCGAGGACATTTGAATATTGGTTTTCCTATATCTTGATGCAGTTCACGAAATGCAACATTCCTTGCACAGTATCATCTTTTTCGCAAAACAGTATTTTTTTTATTATCTTTTTTTATAATTTTTGAGTAATTTATGTTGTAATATTTGTATTTTTATTATTTAAATTAATTATTGAATTTATATAATAAAAACTTTGTTATATCTTTAATATATACTCATAATTGATAAATTTATTTTTAATATATTTATAGATGAGTGTCCAAATAGTGGGGAAGATAGCGAAGAAGATGTAATAACTGATTATTTGGGATCATCGCATTCTGATTGCGATCGTATACCTATTATTAATGGAGATCTTGGCAGTTTAAATTTACATGGAAATATAATTACTGAAACCGGCTACACCAAAGATAATACGGAAAAAACGGCTATTACAATGTCTGAAGGAACTGATGAACAGCAACAGCAGCATTCATTGCTTACACTTGGCACTAATAATCAAATCCAAACTAATCCTTTGGTGCCAATTATCAGTGTCACGCCGCATTCACCTGGTCTTGCTAAGAATTACCCTGTTTTAGGTAAATTTTTTTCATTATTTGAATTATGGATTTGTTAGTAATTATTAAGCTTATATCGTAATCATCGAAATATAAAAGCCAGAAGATACATTTATTAAAAAAGAATAATTACAAAGTGCTGTTTTTGGTATAAATAAATCTTTTTTAAAGATGAATGTAAGAAAATTATTATAATATTATTTTGATTAATGATATTGTAATTCAGCATTTAATTAATTTTTAAAATGCAGACGAATATGTAAAAAAAAAATAATTTATGGAATAATTTATACAAGTAATACCATACTAAAGTAATCCTATATTTTGCTATTCTTAAACTGATCTTATATCGGAAACATTGCATAAATGTATATCATGAAATATTTTAATGATTGATATAATGAATTATATTTATGATACCGATATTGTAATTGTGTAATTATCCTAGGAAAGCAATGATGTATTCAATAATTATGATATTCATTACTATTTTAATTTTTGATAATGCTCTTGATTTGTTTCTTTCTGATTTGTTTCTTTTGTTATGTTATTTGTTCGGTTAGAGTTAATTTTGATGTAAAAATAAAGAAAAAAAGAAAGAGAAGAGAAAAAATGCTTAGACGAAATGACAAAGATGTTTGCAAGTTTTTTTATACTTTATAATAAATGTAAAGGCTATCATAATTCTTAATTTGTATAACACTATTCATTATATTTCATTGAATTCAATATCGCTTGACAAAATTTTATGTGCTTCTGTGGCTAACAATTTATTCACTTCCTTGCAGAGGACAACTTGCAACATCTGCATGAAATCCATGATTGTATTCAACGTATGAGAGATTTAACGCTGAGCAACTGGGGATATAATCATCGCACATCCCACAATGATGTACCTCAACGATTAACTTCATCATGTCCTTCTCTTTGTCCTTTAATTTCATCTGAAATTGCACCACGCTCGAGCAATAATGATACAGGATCTGATCCTGATCTCCTTGTTAATTGTTCCACCAATAGCTCTCCTACACATTTTCCATCAGTAGGTCCTCGTTCACAGAATGCACAAGGTATAGATAGGAGACGCAGCTGGACTGATCTAGAAGACACTCGATGTGGACGTCGCAGATATTCTGGACAAAATCATCTACAAGCACAAAATATGGTTATTATGTTATACATATTTTAAAAGATACTTTCATCTTATTTGTAGCATGATTGCTTTATTGCTTTTTTTCATTTTGTTTTGTTAAAGTTTTTATCTATTTATTTCATTACAATACTCAATATTTTTCTATTATAATTTCAGCGACAACGCAGTATTAGTTTAAGTAGTCTAGACAGTGAAATGGAAATAGAATTACATGGAAAGTCTTGTACCAGACCTGTAGGAGTTGGCAATCGAACATGCAGATCACAAGCAAGTACTCATTCTCTCAATGAAGCTGATTTGGTACAGGTAATTTAGAGAATGCTTACAAGTTTTTTAAATATTTGATTTGTAATGAAGAGGTTGAAAATTTTTTTAACAGAGTGAATATCAGAAGATAGTTACAAAACGATTCAAAGGTAGTCAAAGATTAGCAGACAGTAGTGGTTTAATGCCTGGTCTCACAGGCTCTCGTTTACCTCTTCAGAAATCTATTTCAACACCTTCAATTGTCACACCCCAAGTTAATGCTCATTTAGCAGAGACTGTAACTAGGACAACACCATCACTTAAAACGTAAGTAAATTAAAAATATTTTTAGATTGCACAGCTAGATCAATAATGGTATAAATTTTAAAAAAATTATACTGCATTTTACAATATATTTGATAAACAATGAAATAAATATAAATATAAGTAAATAAATATAAATTTAAGTATAAATTATGAATTTTGAAATGTTATTATTTTATTTTTATTAATAATTTTAATTTTTTAAATTAATTTCATAAATTCTTTATACCTATAAATAATACTTTGATTTTTATGATCTAGCTTGTAATCTTTTTGTTACATCACATTAAATAATATACAGAACAATTCAATTTTCTATACATTATATATATATCAAATATAAGATATTAAAAATTAAAATGCAAAATAGACCTATTATCTTATGGGATTTTGTATCAAATATCTTTTAGAATATCTTTATAATTTGTTATAGTTTGTTATGCTACTTTGAAAATTTTAACTTGTTGATTTTGAGTTACTAATAAAAATGGCCCAATTTATATTGGCCCAAGCTGTTTATGCATTTGTGAAATATTTTTGAAGGCTCAATTTTAGATACTAAAAATGTGAAAGTTTATATAGAAAAATATCAATTATTTATTAAATTAAGTTTAAGCGATTTAAATTTAAAAAATTAAGCAAATGAAAACAAAGTGCAAAAGTGATGTAGAAATAGAGCGGTTTTTATTTTCGTTTCGCATCTAATGTAAACTTAAATTGCTTATAATTTAATAAATAAGCTTTAATAGATATTTTTATATATCAATTTTTGTGTTTGTTTTAACTTCTAGAATTAATCCAAAAGTATTTTATAAATATATAAATATATGAAAATTATTTAGTAATCGTATAATTCGTAAATTCATAAATTCTATAAATATTTTATAATATTTTAAAATAAATATATTCAAATAAATATACTATAAATAATTTCGTTTAATGAATTAAGACGTTTAATTAAGATATTTCAATAAGTTAGAATGATCGATCTATAAATTATTAAAATATTTTATTTTTTATTATTTTTTTTATTTATATGATTAATATGTGGATTTTTTATTAATATATGATTCTATAATAATTAATAAATATTTTTTCAATTAATATTATAATATATAAAAATGATATGTATATAAACTTTATTTATGATTATAAAATATTCTATTTTATACTATATTTCTACTATAGAATAGAATAATAATATCTAATATATCTTATATTGAAATTTAATTAGAATTTTAATAATCAGTAATGCAATTTTATTCTATACCAAATTCGTAATGTTGAAAATGTTATTAAAGCAGTGATAACTCTAAAGCATTGAAATATGAAATAAAAAATGCATTTGATTTTAGGTCTATTTCAATGTGATTATATATATTTTTTACGTCTTAAACACGTTTTAAATTAATAATAAAAAAACTTAATGCACGATTTATTAATATGTTCATAAAATATTTTGAAGAATACTATATTAATTTAATAATCCTATATTTAAGAATGCTTGCATTAATTTGTAGATGAAAGTATTTTAGCATGATTGCACTATTTATTATTATATTTAATTTTTAATTTCTTTAAAATTAAATCGCACTTTAATTAAAATCAAGATATTATTTCATCTTCATGATATTTAATTCCTAAAATTATTAAAAAAAAATTTCGAATTTTACTTTGAATTCATACAAATATTCTTTTGTTTATCTTAATTAATTTTGCATTTGTGGCACTTATGTGGCACTCTCGGTGGAAAACCACACGAGAATTTCTGATTTGCATCTTTTACACAATAGTCGCATACTTTGTGTTTGTACTTGACAATTTCCTACCATCCTGCATGGTACAGCCGACGTGAAAGAAATGAAAAGGGTAGTGGAAGTGAGACTGAAACTGAAGATCTTCACACACCAAACAGCCATGAATTTCATGAAGATAGAGAAGGCACTCCAAATGCTCAGATATCCCTTGATGAGCTACTGACTGAGTAAGTATTATATGTCTTTAGAGTTTTTCATACATGATATATTCTAAGAAGAAAGGAAAAAAAAGGAAAAATTAACTGGTTTGTATTGGTTTTATCAATAATTATTTTTTTTTAAATTATATACACATAATAAAATTGTAATATTATTTAGATTTTTCTATATATTCATTTTTCTATATTGTTTCTTCACAAAATGCTCAATGATGTATTATATATTTAGTCATAATTTATAATATTTTTATTTTAATCACTTAGTGTAAATATATCATGTAGTACCGCTTGTAAATATTTATTGTTGAATATTTTCACATTGTTTCATATTTTAAATTCTTTTGATTAATTATATTTATACATTAATTATAATACAATTTTTTTAAATTAATTTTTAGTGCAGTTGTATATGATGATCATCATTCAGAAAAAAGTAGAAGAAAACGAGGATCTATTTTTTTCCGTAAAAAAAAGGTAACAATATTATAAAAAGTTTAAATAAATAAATAAAACATAACTTTAAATGTTATTATAAAATTACAGGATAAAAGTGGTAAGAAAACTAGTCAGCAACATTTATGGACGACAATAATGGCAGGACCTCAGGGAAGTTTACTATGTGATGTTTGTATGAAACACTCAACAAATAAACCTATACTTCTACATTGTGACCGTAATTAATTATATATTAATTATATATTATTATATTTGTATTTTTTATTAATTCATTGATATTGTTATTTTATCAGATTGTGGAGTATCTGTACATCAAAGTCAAGGATGTAAAGATCAACTAGTGCTAGAATGTATTAAATCAAAAAATCATTCTAGCAAAGCTGCCATTAAAACTACATCAAGTATATCCACAACTTCGAGTAGCTATAATGTTAAAAGAGGATCTACTGCATCATTGCCATTACCATTATCGTCTGGAAGTGGAAGGTAAATAATTTTTATTATCGAAATTATAAATTTTTTGCATTGGATCTGCGTATCTGTGATTCAAGATTCGCACGCAATTGGCATGGCTAGGCCTAAACTCGGAGTTTATTATTTGCAACAGATATAAGTTTGAAAATATATATATTTGCATTCTCTAAGAAACTTTACTTTTTTGTCCATTAAATTTTTATAAAAAATATCATCTGATAAAATTAACTAAATTTAATTAATCATATATTTATTATTAATTCAATGTGATCAGCTATTAAGAAAAATTTACTAAAAATATACTTACATATTTTGAAAAATTGCAAATATACTTACATATATTTAAAAATTCAAATAATCTATTACATTTCATATTTTACATTAAGAAATCTTATTGAATTTCTATATTTTATAAAATATATAGCTAGAAGAGATTGTATCTGCTTATTATTCAGAAGCTTTGGCTGGTTCATAAGCTTATTATTTCTAATTAATTTTGCAGTTTATTAGCCAATAGTATGATAAGCTTTAGCGTGTTTATCCTCGCGTCTCTAACATGAACTAATAAACATTTAACATATAAAATTCTATACTCAAATTTTTTTAATTATTTAAATATTATTTTTATAAATTTAATATAAACTGTATAGTATGAAAAATAATAGTTATTATTAGTAACTTAAAAATAATTTTATCAAATCACACAATAAAAAAATCCATGATTTTTTAACGCTGCATATTTATATGTTTTATATTGCGGTAAAATGTTTTTGAAAAGATAATGTTTTCGTATCAAAAATTATGTATTCAAATATCAAGTAATGTATAAAACTAAAAAACATAATAGAATAAGAAAACTGAAGAAAGAAGGGAAACAAAAGGCAAAATGAGGTTGCCCTAATGCAGTGTGTGCTTTTTCCTTCCCCCGTGCATTCCCTCTCGTGCAACGACAAACCGATCGATTGCTCGCCGATTAAAGGGAAATTAACAGCAAGAAAACTGTGACAAGCTACAGCCCTTGGCGGCGAGTTGCTACTAAACTTGGAGTCAAGTAAGTTTCAGATGTCTGATGTGTATCTCCTATTTTGTCGAAGCGTTCGTACGTTTCTGTTCGTGTATTAATCCTACACAGTAGTAGGATGACCCGTGTCTATCGTTCCTCGATTCTTTTCTCGCACACATTGTTTAAAAGGCAATTGAATTGCCTCTTTGTGTTATATTGACGGAAACATCACCTTACCCCTGCCTATGCTTCTGACATGCTTGCTTCAATTTTTTACAATTATTCAATAATATATTTTATACATACATCTTATTGTAACTCCATTCGATCATAATAATATCTCAAATTATTAAATGATTAAATAATTCATTTATCAAACATTATCAGGAATGAATATCTAGTATTATGTTTCCAATATAAATTTCTTTATTAATTTTATTTCAATTTTTTCTCCATGTTATAAATTTATAATTTTATTTATAATCTCTCTCATGCTATAAATCTATCTCAAAATATATATTTAATATTTTTCATTCATATAAAAATTTTTTGGAAATATATTAATAAATATTTTGGATCAGGTTGGAAAAGATTTTATTTTAATATTGCAATTTAACATAATTACATACTTTATTTTTTCGTATATTTTATTAAATAATTAAAATATAAATATTAAAAAAAACTTTAATGTATAAATATAAATATCTCATATCCAACTTAAATATGTTCATTAAGTATTCATCTTTTAGAAATTCCTATAATTATATATTTCACTTTTTTTTCTAACTTATAGTTTAAAACTACTTTAAACTATACTACTAGTTTAAAACTACTGTGAAATAAAATATAATTATTAATATGGTAATATATAATGTATAATATATAATATAATAATGATAATAAATAACTAATTTAATTTAATTAATGATTAAATATATAATAATTAATTGCGATTATATATCGGTTGAATAAAAATTTAATCGTTAATCATAGTTAATAACCAAGTATTTTAGTTATACTTGTTAATTATGAATTTTATTATATTTATTATATTTTATTATATTTTTTATATATAGTATCTTAAAAATAATCACTGCAATAAGTCAGTTATTAAAAATTGAATTTTTATCAATTATTATTTGTCTTACATATTTTAAATATCATTTAAATTTTATTTATGTAGAAGATAGATGATTTGTATAGAAAAGTATTGAAACATATTTATAAAAATAATAAGAAAAAATAAGTGTACATTATGTAAAAGATAATATGAAAGTCATAAAAGTATAATTTATCATATTTGTAAATAAGTAATATATTTTAACATTGTTAAAAATTATATTAAAAATAAAAAAATAATATAAGCTATTTTAATTAATTTTAATTATGATATATAATAAACAATTTTTTTCTTATTATGAAAAAAATATTTTGAAAATATGAAATATTATATTTTTCTTTCAGTCAAACAATAAATGAGGAAAAAGATGGAGATGGACAACATCGTGATATATCTAGGTTTGTAAACTTTTGATTTTGATTAAATTTTAATTTTTTTTTCAATTTTTTTTCAATTAAATTTTTTTCATCATATAACTTTTGATTAACTTTTTTTTAGAAAATAATTAATTTAATAGTTTTGAATTAATAATAAACTTAAAAAATAATTATAATTTTTTATTTAATATTTTAGTGGATTAGAAGGATTTGATCTTGGAGATGATGCTTATCAATTTACTGTGGGTGATTTGGAAGGTTTGGATCCTGAATTAGGTTTAGCTAAAGAAGAACCTGATTCCTGGAGTACCGCCATTGGACATAACATCGCATTGCGACTAGTTGATAATTGTGAAAGAAAAGTAAAAAGACAAGAACACATTTATGAGTTTGTACTTACGGAAAAGCATCATTGTTTAGTACTTCTCGCTATGGAAAGAATCTTTGCGGAAGGTCTTCGACGCCACTTTCGTTTAGGTCAACCAGATTTAGAACGCATGTTCCCGAGACTACGTGATCTCATTGATATTCATTTACGATTTTTACAAAAATTACGTAAGCGACAAAATACAAATCCTGTTGTTCCTACAATCGCTGATATATTAGTAGATCAATTTTCTGGAGAAAATGCACAACGTATGAAGAGTGCCTATGGAGAATTCTGTAGCCGTCACAGAGATGCTGTTGAAGCTTACAAATATTATTTACGTCATGACCCTCGATTTGCACGATTCGTGCGTCAATGTCAGGTAATAATAAGATATATTATTAATTTTATATATTTAATTGATGCAATAACATAAAGGAATATGTAATTAATGTTTGTGTATAGTCACATCCTTTATTAAAGAAGAAAGGAATTCCTGAGTGTATCCTATTTGTAACTCAACGTTTAACAAAATATCCATTGTTAGTTGAGCCACTCATAAAAACGGGTATTGCACAAGAAGAAGGTGAAGATTTACGCAAAGCTTTGAGTCTTGTTAAAGAAATTTTAGCCGATGTGGATGCATGTGTTGCTGATAAAGAAAGAGAAGATAGAAAATTAGAAATTTATAATAAGTAAGAAAATAATATTTTATAAAGTATTTTTATTCTTTTTGCTTTCTTTAATTTTATAAATTCTATAAATAACATATTTCTTTTTATTATTATTTAGAATTGATGCAAAGTCTTTTGCAACTTATCGTGGTACCAAATTCAAAAAATCAGATATTATGGCATTTAATAGAATTTTAAAATTTGAAGGTACTGCATATTTAATGCAAGGTCGTGGAAAAATGACTGCCATTGTAGTAGTTGTTCTTTCTGATATATTATTTTTTTTGGCTGAAAGAGATCAGAAATATGCATTTTTTGTGCCTGACAATAAGGCTGGTATAGTATCACTTCAAAAATTACTGGTTCGTGAAAAGGCTGGTCAAGAATCTAGAGGTATTTATTTAATAAGTAGCAATCCAGCTGAACCTGAAATGTTTGAATTAAAAATTCAAAAACCTAAAGATAAACAATTATGGATACAAGCGATTAGATCAGCAGTTGAAGCCTGCCCACAAGAATTTGAAAATGAAATTGATACATTAACTGAAAACAATAATAATAATGAAATAAGAGATACACGTTCCTCTTCTATATCGTTTCTTTCTGTTGAAGAAAGGCAACGTTTAATTAAAATTAAAGAGTCACATGTTCTTAAAATAATTGGTATGTGTGATATTTAATAATATATGTATATATGTATGCATATTAACGTATATATATAATATAAATACAAAATGGATACAGAAATATTGGTTGAGACTTATTTATTAAGTATATAAGCAATTTAAATATATTGGAAAAATAAGGAAGCTACAAAATAATAGTAATTGAATTTCTCTGTTTTATATATTTATAGATCTTAACTAACATTTTTGTATAACTTTTATATTTGTTTTGGTTTTTAGAATTAACTCTTTGTAGATGTTCCCTGAATATATTAATATTTTATATAAATATTATTAGATTGAATATATTAAGAACAGTTTATTATTATTTATTTATTGTTATAATTAGGTGAACTGCGTAAAAAAGATGCAGAACAAGCATTATTACTTGAAGAAAAAATCAATTTACAAATGCAACTTTTACATGCTGCAAATATTTGGAGTGCAAATGAAAATAGTGATAACGAAAGAATAGAAAAAGTTGATAAAGAAATTCTAGATTATACTAGATTAGTTCATAATGAAGGAACGGATACTACACAGTTACGACAAGAGGTTATATTATTATATTTTTTTAAAAGAATTAAATTTTAAGTAATATAAGTAATATGAATTTTTATGAATATATTTTATTATTCAGAAATTATATTATAAAAATTATATAAATAATAATAAATTATGAAATATCTTGAATAAATAAAATTAAAACTGAAAAATCATTTTTTTATAGGTTGTTGCAGCTATTCAAGAAGCAACAAAACTTGCTAGCTCATTATCTTTTAGTGCTGGTGGTGCTACTCTTTCAAGAAGTTTGAGTTCTGCAGGAGAACGACATAGTGAAGCCTATGTTCCATCTGCTCTTTGTGTTCCTCGAAGAGCTGAAACATTTGCGGGTTTTGATCATAACAAAGTAAATATATAATATATTAGTATTTTAACAATTAAAATAATAAGTTAAAATAATTATATGTTTTTCTTAGGAAAAATATCCGTTACGAGAATCTGCAATTCATTCCGTAATTTCTCTTCCAAAAGTTAGTGAATTTATGAAAGAAAATCTGGATGAAAAAGAAAGTCAAGATCCAGAAGTAAATAAAGATCAACAATGGGCAGCAATTCGTTTATCTCATCATGTTTATAGGTTGGTCTGTATAATTAGTAATCAAATGACAACAGTTGATAGTTTACAGGCTCAATTAGCTGCATATAAAGAAGGAAGTATGGGTAAATCAAATAATAGACCTAATCCAAATCGACAATTAGAAGAATTACGTAATTTACAAGATCAGTTAAGTCGAGAAAAAGCAGCATTTCGTGCCGCATCTCAACAAGAACAAAAACAATTAGAAGAAGAACGGACTGAATTGGCAAGGCAACGAGAACAACTAGCAGCAGAGCAAAGAGATGTTACACAGCAACGAGATCAATTATATCGACGACTCGAAGCATTAGAACGACAAGGAGTGACATTAGTTACAGGTTCTGCACCTACTTCTACGACTATTCATTTATCTCATTTGACGCAAGGAAATGATACTGTACAAACACGAAAATCACAACCAGATGCTAAAAGAATACCATTAAATTTAATTAGTGCTACTAATCAGCAAAAAGTGCAAAGTAATCTTCCAGTCAAACAACAGTTGCCTTTAAAACTTGCTAGTGGGAGCAACAATAATAGGTATGTATAAATATTATTTATAAATTATATAATTATTTAAAGTATAACATATAAAATTAAATTAAAAAATTAATATTAAAATAATACATACATACATGCATATATATATATTCTAATAATGTATTTTTTATTTAATAAAAAATTAGAAGTGGAAGTACGAGTAATAATAGTCCTGATCGACATTCGCGAACGGGAAGCAGCCCGGCAATTGTTACTGGATCTACATATTCTTCACCAGAATTAGGAAATAATCATGCTGGTACGAGTCATTCCTCGAATCGTTCACTTCGAATTACACGATCGCCTCCAGAATATCCACATCAACAACAGCATCAACGAACAGAACAGCAACAACCTTTGGAGGAAGAAGTAATTTTTTTCTGACGTTTCTTCGTTTTGGTCGGAAACATTCTCGATCTTCTCGTCCTACAACTGGCGAGGCTACTCCAACTTCCACATTAACTCCCTCCCGAAATCAATCAAAAGATGCTCAACCTAGAAGTCGTGTAAAGTCATTTTGACTTTCAACATTTTCTCGGTAAGAACTTTGAATTATTTTCATTTTCTTCATAATTATTATCAATTTCAATTTTTCTTGTTTATACTATCTTCATATTTTTTTTTATTCTCTTTCTAATATTTTCTTTTTACTTACTGATATTTTTTTTCTTTTATTTTCTTTTTCTTCTCTTGACAATTTTATCTATGTTGTATATCGAAATACAACATAGTACATAAGTGATGCATTTAAGGTGTCCATAATAATAGTGCGACTATCAATAAAAAAAAAATATACATATTATTCTCAATATAAAATAAAATAAAGAATAGTGTTACTTTTCAACTGCTACTGAGGGCAATAATATAATTTTTATGCAAATTCTCACAAAACCTATTATAAAAAGAGAATAAAAATATATGGACAAATAAAGAAATAACAATTAGTGCTCAGAAATATTTGCGGGAAAAAAAATGTTAAAATGGCCGGCTTAGTGAGATAGATCAGCCGATCTTGTTGAATCCTTATTCGTTATGTTATTAAGCCGACTGACAGTTTTAGAGACATGATTTTAGACGAATCTTTTAAGCAAATCTGTTGCAATTTGCTGAATACAAGATAGAAAAAATACATTATTAGAATTGCATATACATGGATGTGTATATAGATATACTTTTTCATGACATATGTATGGCATTACTTGTACGTATGTTAGAAACGAAAATGTGTGAAAATATATGAATGAAAAAGAGGTAGAAAAAATGAATAATTCGTATGTAACATTTTCTTTTTGTGACACGTACATGCGTGTGTTTGTAAATGTGAATGCATGTATGTGTACGAATGCTTGAGTGACCGCGGTAGCTATTCTTATACTGTAACTTTAAAAGTATTTTAATACGTGCTAAAACGACGGATAAGATCTATTATTATCAATAATGCATTGCTGTTACGTGTGCCAAGCCACAGATTAAAATCATTAATTTTTTGAATATCATTATATCATTCCATTAATAAATATGTATAAATCATTTTTAATTTAACAAAATCAATAGCAATCCAAACTACATTTTACATTTTACATCTTTCTTCGAGATTATTCACTGCCATTATCATTAATCTGTAATTTTTTTCTTTTCTTTTTTTTTAAGTAATATAATAAACTATTTTATTTATTGCATTATATATATTAAAATCGGCGATAATTTTTAATTGCTTAAACTATTTTATTTATACGAGATTTTTTTTGTAAAGAAAGTTTTTAAATATTTTGAAAATAAAATTTATTTTAGAAAAAGTATTCTTTAAAAATTGATCATACTGCACGTTTAAGATATTAGATAAATATAAAAATCTCGAATGTGGTTCTAGAATATAGATCATTATATTTTTTGTTTTAATACATGATGTATGTTTAGATTTTGCACGTATTTGCCTCAAAAGATGCTGTAACGTGCAATATGATCGAATAGAAGAACAGCGTCGTCGAGGCACGATAATAAAATATATAACTAATTAATTTATCTTCGTAAGGAAACATAATACTATCAATTTGTCTCAATTTTGTCTCAATCACATACACACACAATCGTGGTGACAATAGTTCTTAAAAGTATTTCCGTAAGATTTAAAGATTATGAAAAAAAAAAAAATTGAATTCTTATAAGTCTATTACAAAAAAAAAAAAAAAGAAAAACAAGAAAAAAATAATCGAGCATATATCAGCTCGTAAAGGATATTGTATTAATCTGTTAGTAACCTTCATGGATGAGTGTTCGACTTCATTTCAAGAACACTTAATACAAAATAAAACATTTTTAATGTCATAATGCTCATTATAAAAAAGTAAGAAACATATATAAAAAGTTTTAATATTGGAACATAATTCCAAAAAATCATTCCACAGTTAGATATTATAAAATATATATATAAATTGTATATTCTTTATATACATTAAGAACATTGCACTATGTCAAATGTAGTTTAATACAATTAAAATTTATTGTTATTAAATATTATCCTTGTATAATGAAGTCGTACACCATCTTCAGGGTAACGCGAAGAATCAAACTGGAATAACAACTAAGGAGTAGTGCGGCGGCCTACATGCGTCTTTTGGCATCTAACATATGATGCTGTTAGACAGCATAAGTTTAAAAAAAGGATATAAAGAATTATTAATAACGTTTTCCACGTTTTAGTGAATCTTTATGTCTCTGACGCTCATGGGAAGTATTTTTGTACGTTTACTCTGTACCTACTATTTTACTCTAAAACTATATCTATTGTTATTATTGTGATACTCGCTACTGCGATCGTCTTTGGAAATGTTAACGTAAAATTATATCTAATAAATAAACGCGTATTTGTTTTAAGACGCGTTTACTTCATGAATCAGCATTAATTCTTTTAAAATCTATAAATTAATTAAAAATCGTTACGTCAGTTATATGCTAATATCAATTGTTACTTATTATGTTATTTTAATTATTTCATTAAGATTATCATTTATTCATAAATGTGTAATTTATTTTATAACAAATGCATGTTATAAACATATTTTAATCTTAAACTTCTTATATTCCGAAATAAAATCATTTTTTCCGGAAGGCGATCCATAAAAGTTAATCTGTTACTTAGCGAAAGTAAATAAATATTTACGATATTTTTCTTCCTGTTTCAATTCTATACAGATATATACATAATGATATGTGATTTACATTCCTTAACGTTTATATATACATATGCTACATTTTTCGATTGATACATGAATCGCTGTTAAATCATTAACCGCATAAGGAAATAATATCTATTTATTATAAATGTACATACAACTGTTATTGTAATAAAGAAAAACGTGAGGGAAATGTACGATTATGTTAATGTTACGTAATATTTCTCTTCTGTTTATTATATTTACTTACAAAAACTTTTTTTGCATTTACAAATTTTTATCCTATCAATTTTAATATGGCTTAGTTCTATGTTGACGATCCCGTCCTTTGCCAGTACCAATTTTTGCCATCAATTTATGGCTAGAATTTTGTTGGATAGATATAGTTTCAGTTTGTCTCCAAATATTTATAAGTCCACCTTCACCTACTGTTATTAAAGAACCACTCTGCAAATGATACATTAAAATATTCATTATATTAAAATAAATTTATATTGCTTATATTAGAATTATACCTTTTCATGTAGCCAGCTATCACGTACTATTTGTTTATTTCCTATCATATTATAACATGTTTCTAATCGATCATTTATGATATTTAAACATCTCAAATTTTCCCTAAAATTTTATAAGAAAAAAATATATAAAAATATTGCACTAAATAAAACTAATTAAATTAAATTTAATTAAAACGTTATAAATTATATGTTATAATATAACATCAAGATGTTATATTATCCTATTTTATAAATTATTTAAAACATATTGTAAATATTCAATAATAATTCATATTGTTTACCCTTTAACATTACTGGAACCTGCAAGGAGAAATGGTTGTCCAAGTGCATTTGAAGCATGAAATCTAACTATATAACAATCATCTGGATCATCATTCTGAAAAAAATAGTATAAATTATTTTGAGATTGTTAAGAGATTGTGTTCAGATATAATATTTTTTTTTATTTTTAATTAAGAAATCATTTTTAAATTATTTGAAATTGATTTTTTCTATAAATATCAATAATAATATAATTATACTGTTGTATACTAACTTGAGAAACTGTTAAATTACTACGCTCAAATTTAGCATATGGAGTTGCTCCATCACAGTCCCAAAGTTGTAATGAATTATGTGTTGTGCACCAAAGATTATCATCATTTAACCAGCCTATCCTATCCTTTTTTTTTTTTTAAGATATATAAATTTCAATCTTGTTTATATACATTTCAGGTTTTATTTATTTAGAATATTAGCTTACCACAGATGATTCGGTATTTAAGGAATAAGTTAATGCAGAATCTTCTGATGGCTGTGTAAGGTCAAAGACATTAATCAGTCCATCTGTACTACCCGATGCTAAGACATCCTGCTTACTAGAATGAAATGCCAAAGAGGTTACATCTTCCATATGAGATTCCCAATATCCACCAAGAAGATTATTTTTATCATCCAATTTTGAATTAGTATGTCGACTATCCCAAAATAAAATAAATGCATCTCCTCCAATATGCTCAGTACCACCTGCTACAAGTTTTTCATCACAACTAACATCAAAACTACAAAGAGGTCTCATTTTGCCATCTTCTGTACTATCTGAAAATAAGAAGAAAATATAAAGATAGAAATATAAATTTATATACAAAAAATATATAAAATTTATATATAATATTAAATATAACATAAAATTTATAAAGTTTGTAGTATATGAACTATATATATAATGAAAAATGTAATATTTATATTATATCATTTTCTGCTTCTTAAAAGAACTTTCTACATACCTTTAAACCTTGCAATAACTTTGCCTTTAGCTCGTAAATCACATGCTGTAATTTGCCCATTATTCATTGCTGTATATAAAATATTTCTAGAAGTAGGACTAAACCTAATACCAACAATAGGTGCTTGATTATGAGTTAATGTAATAGTTTGGTTTAAACTTTCCCCAACAGAATATATTACACATGTATGATCAGATAAAGCAGTACCAATTCGAAATTCTGGATCACTATACATAAAAATTAATTTATAGTATATCTTTAACAGATTTTTTATAAATATGTAAAATTGAAACAATTCATGTCAAATCCAAATATAATATTTAATATTTTTTAAATATATTTTTATATAATATTTTTAATTTTATAAATAATTAAATATAATAATAAAAATAATAAATATAAATAAACAAATAATGTTACAATAATTAAAAAATTTAATATCAAATAATCTAAATTTCAAAAAAAATTTAATTCATTGTACAATAATAAAAAAATATATTTTAAATAAAATGGAGGGAAAATTGCGTGATGCCATTCAATATTTTGAAGTAAAACATACATAAAAATTTTTTTAAAAATTATAATTAAAAAATACTATATTTTTTTTTAATAGATTTGACATAAATAGCTTCATAAGAAAAAGCAAGATTTGCCTTTGTGTTCCACAGACAGCAAGAATATAATTATGATCAAGAGATACTGCTTCTTCTATCGATGATATTAACTCGCTTTTTCTTTTGACGGTTCGATTGTCATCATGTTTACGTGTACCGTGTTCAACACTTAATCTTTTTAATGATTCAACTATTTTAGCCATGCTGCTCGTTTTTGAAATTCCGAGCAGATATTACAAAATTAAGGTTAATATCACGTTCGGATTATAGCCATACGTCTTCGAAAATATAAAATATTTGTCACTTTGAACAAAATCGAAACTATTAGATTTTTTATTTTTAACTTTCTTTGTTTGACGTATAAAATTATTTAATATAAGTTTTTTCTTAATTTAATAATAAGTTTTATTAGACTACGCCGAACAGAGAAGACGCGATTTTTTTTTTTTGACATCGGTAGGAACAAAAACTAACGTAAACTGTGAAGTTTGTTTGGTGTTCATTAAGATAAAACCATTACTACTTTATCGATAGATGGATTTTTCACAACCACAGACTATGTATAGGAATAGATCAATAATGCAATATATTTTTGTGGTACATTTCTAGGATTCTAAAGCATTACTATTTTCATATCACTGACAACATTATCAACAGATAATAGAAAGCTACTTTAACACTCATTATGATAGGAATTAAAATTTAAATAAAATTAAAAATATGCTTTTGTCATTTACATATATTTTGATGTATGATGTTTGGTGTCAAGCATTATTCAATAAAAATAATAGAATTTAAACAAACATAATAAAAAATCTTAATCCAACAATTAGAAATAAAAAAAAATTTAAAGCATTCTATCGGAATATTAAAGATTCATTTATCGAATTTATTCTTTCGTTACTTGTTATCTTGGAAAACATTCTTAAAACATATAATTAACTGTTTAGACAATTAACTATATATTTTAATTAACTATTATTGAATATAAGATAACAAAGCTTTAATATCATATAATTAATGAAAAATCATAAATATTAACCTACAAATTTTTTTATCATTTAAGATTTACAAAATACATTTATACTTCATTATTTAATTCTAATAATAATTTGTAATCACTTCATATTTAAATGATTTTTAAATATTTAAAAAAATATAATTTTATTTTTGAAAATTATAATATATTAATTTTCATTGTAGAATGAATTTATTAATTATTAATTAATTATTGCATTGTAGATTTTAAGATAATTTGACATCAATTTTATAAGTAAAAATATAGAATAAATTATTAAATAATATATTTTTTTGATTTTTAAAAATGATGTTTAAAAATTGTTAAAATAATTATAAGAAAAAGAATATAGATATTTGATGTATATTATATATGTATTAATAGTATCAATAGTATATTATATTAATAGTATTAAGTTATAATTTATTAAAAAAAAATATTCAAATTAAATTTTTTGTTTTCTTTAATAAATTATTTGAGAATATATAAAAATTATATTAAATAGGATCAAGAGATGTTTTTTCATAAAAATGAGGTGCTAATTCTAATAACCATTCTGGTTGGATCACAGTTATATCTTTCATATATGTTTTATTTGTTTGTAAAACTTCATAGAATAGTAACCTTGAACAAAAATATAAGAATTGAGCACATTAAATATATTATTATAAAATATTAAAGTTAATATACAAACCATTGTGGTTGCTGAAGTGTATATAAACAACTATTTGGATGTATATATAAATCTTTATTTCCACGTATTGTTTTATATGTTCCAGTATAATGTAAATAAGCCACTTTCGGAAAAAGTCCAGCGGTTATACATTTTAAAATTTGTTGTACATTTCCTTGAACAAAAATAATTGTTATCAAAAAATTTTTATATTTATTATAATATATTTATTTATAACAATTATTTTTAGCTTTAACTTACGATTGCATGAAACTAATGGTATATTTAATTTTTTCATCATAGAATGCATTTGCGTTCGAATTTCCATAGCTCTGCGCAACGCTTTATTATTAAGAAATTGTTTTTGACACCAACTACCTGTTTTATTCTTTTCATATGCAATATATACATTAAGTAACGTTAATAAATCTCCTTCTTCAACTTCAAATTTTCTTTGTGCTATTCTTGCTTTTATAGCAGCTTGGCCACCTGTTGGTCTTATGAAAACATTTTGTACTTGAAGCATAGCTAAAATCGTTGATATTTCTTCGGAACATCCCATTTCACCTATATATAAAAAGAATTAATTAAAAAATTATTTGACATAATCAAAATAATTAAATATAAATATATTATTAAATTCTGTTTTTATTTTAAATTGATAATTCTTTTATTAAAAATTTTACCTGATACTATAAGAGATTTTGCTAAAACGGGTTCTAATGGCATTTCTGCCATTGTTATACCTAATGGTGTTGTTAATTCTCCATTACTATCAATTGCCCCTAATGCATAAAGTAATTCCAGTCCAGTAAGAAGATTTTTACTTGGTGGGGCAGAAGGAAAGTTAAATCTTAATACATTATCAATTCCTAATGCTTTTAGTTGTAAGATAGCAGGTGCTAGATCCGAACGTTGCATTTCTGGTGGTGTTGTCTCAAATAGTTCCGAGTATGCTTTTTCTGTGTATAATCTACAATATTACTTATTAATATTTTTAATATTATAAATAAACAAAAGTACATTAAATTTTTAAACAATTAAATGTTTATACAAATCGAATACCTATAAGCTTTTCCTGTTCGAACACGACCTGCTCGACCAGCACGTTGATCCGCGGAGGCTTTAGATATCGGAACAATTACAAGAGAATTTGTCTGAGTTTCTGTCTCATACCATGGAATTTTTACAAAGCCACAATCAATAACTAGATTAAAATTTCATTATATTTTTATTTTTTATTATTACTGAATTTTTTATAAATTTTTATTATTATATTTAAATAATAATAATATAAATATATAAATAAATTTTACTTAAGATATAAAAAATGGATATTTTATAAGAATATATTAAAATCGTACCATAAATTATATTTGGAATAGTAATTGATGTTTCTGCGATATTCGTCGCAATGATAACTTTACGAGTGTCTTTGGCAGCTCTCCAAAATACTTTCAGTTGTTCTGAGTTCGGAAGAGATCCATACATAGCTAGAGGTAAAAGTTTCACTATAAAAGAATACAAAGACAATGAAATTTATCTTAAATGTTAAGCATGTTATATAATGACAACGATAGTGTCATATTACTCACATTTTCCTTCTTTTATAAGTTTTGCATGTTCTGATAAAAGAGAAACTGCTCGGTCTACTTCATCTAAGCCTGTAAGAAATGCTAAAATATCACCAGGTTCTTCGTTTTCATGAATTTTCATGACGGTATCTATGACACTGGTCACATAATTAGCCACTGGTTCTAAAATCAAATATAAATAATATAATAAAAAATGAAACAAGAAAATTAAACGAAAAAAAATCAAAATATTAATACACAAATAAAAAATCGCGAAAAATAAAAAAAAATATATTGTAATAATGATTATAAATATATTATATTTATTATTTTTTTGTAGGATGATATTGCATATAAATATATACCTTTTATAAAAAAAATATCTACTGGATATAGTCTACCTTCAATAGTAAGTATAACCGCGGTATCTTTCGTTGAATCTTTTATTGTATTTGTATTGAAAAAATCTCGAAGTTGTTCTGCATCAACCGTAGCAGAACAAACAACAATTCGCAAACTTCTTCGTTTCTAAAATATTTATAAAATATAAAAAAAAATATTTTTATATTTAATACATCTTTTATTTAAATATAAATATAAATAAATACATAAATTTATAATTATTAATTATAATTAATATTATATTATATTATATATATTATATTATATTTAGATTATATTAATTATATTTAATTATAAAAAATATTACATAAATTTTACCCGAATTATTTTTTCAAAAGTCCCATAATAATATCAGTAAGAAGAGTTCTTTCATGTACTTCATCTACTACAATTACAGAATAACTTGTCAGTAAAGGATCGCTCATTAATTCTCGAAGTAAAATTCCTTCTGTCATGTACTATAAATAACACAATTAATTATTAAATTAATTATTAATTTTCTTTATATTTTCAATATTTTTTAGTCTTCTAATATTTTATATTTATATATTGTATTATTATCGAAGAAGAACATAGTATTTTATAATAATAATATCTAACAATAATAATTATTTTTAATTATTTAATTATTAGCAAGATGTATAAAAGTAAATTTTGAATAAATTTTGAATTATAATACAAGTTATATATTATAAAACTATTATTTCTTCTTCGTACATGATACTGAAATTAAGTATTATATATAGATGTATTAAATAATAACATCAAACATTTGAAAAATGAAATTCTAAATAATTAAAAAATTAAGAATATTTTAAGTTCGATATAATTTTTCAGATTTTCATTATTTTAGTTATTAAATAATCATTTTTCATATTTTTCAATTTTGATTATTTAATTATTAAATTTTAATTTTTAATAATACAAACGATTGTAAAATAATAATACCTTGATTTTTGTTGTTTCGTCTGTATAATTATCGAAACGTATAGAATAACCAACTTCTGTGCCTAAAATACAATTGCGTTCATCAGCAACACGATTAGCTAAAGAAGTAGCTGCAACTCTTCTTGGTTCCGTGATGCCAATTATTTTTCCATCTGAACACCATCCTGCTTCGAGAAGATACTATAATCATTTTATAAAATATATATATATGTACTTATGTAAATATATATACATATTATAAATATTATACATATTATATTATATATGCAATATTAATTAATTAAATATTGTAATAATATATATAATATTAATAATAATATAAATAATATTAAATCTTTTCTATATTAAACAAAAATTAAATAGTGTACAATTTAATAACAACTTTTGGAAACAGAAAAAATTTGATTTTTCTCAAAAGATAGTTCTATCAAAACAATTAAGATTAGTGATATATTCTTTGAAAAAATATTCGTAAAATCTATGTTCTATATTCTACGAAATATATATATGTTTAGAAATAAGTTCTACCTAATTTTAAAACATTTGCTTAATTTTTTTCATTTAATTTGATTAATTTATTTAATTTCTAATTGAAAAAATTTATTTTTGCTAAATTTTTAATAATATATAATAATTTACAAAATTTTGTTCAATATAATTATTACAATAATATAGTTATATACAATTTACTTATAATAATTATTGTGAATATATTTATAAAATTAATAAAATTACAAAGATTTAAAAAAAGAAATATTAATATTATTTTATTTTAATACTAATAATAATAATAATAATAATTTTTTTCATGTTTGATATAAATTTATTTTGCAAATCTTGTACAAATAAATTTTTATTTTAATATAAATAAATTAGTATTTTAGATTTATTTTCAATACATAAATTTTTAATATATATGAAAGTA